CAATACGCGCGTCTTCGCTCCCGTCTTCATCCCCTTAAAATCGGGTCCTCAAATCCGGCAGGCAATCGCGAACTAATCGAACCAGCGGCAACACATCGACACCACCGCGTACGCGGCCGAACATATCGATCAGTCGATCGATCCTCGCCGTCGCTCGAACGCATCGACCAACGCGCTCGCAGTCGCCTAGGGGCCACTGCAACACCCGCGCTTGCGCTGACGCTTTCTCGTCACAATTATTCACCACCACCAAGATAATTTATAAACCGCGTTCAAACCAACATATTAAAACGCTCTGTATCCACACGGATTTGTAAAGTATAGACTTCATCAGTTAAGAAATAAATCTTGTTTTATTACTACATTTTATTTATTTCATCCGAGCATTCTTCTGCGTGCCCCCAACCGATCGAACTCCTGACTCCGACGAGTTACTCCGCGCAAGACAACGTACCGTTTCAAGGTAAAGATGCGTAGATCGTTCGGCCTGAGCCGATACGGCGGAAATAGTTTAATACGGTAGTAAAGTAATTCGCTCAATCAATCGGTAACGAGAACAAATTTCGGTAACTATATTAAATCTCGGAAACGCGATCACGATAATTCGCAGCTGATCCGACGATATTCGGCAAAACAAATGACTTGTATTACGACCATCCGATACGGCCGGTGAAGACCAAATAAATATACTTTGAACGACGACGGGTAGCCTAACGGCCAGAAATGAGATGTCGCGGAACGGCTATTTTCGCGGGCTTTCACGTTTCTCGCCGAGACGCTAACTTGGCGGTAATAGCGGTCTCGCAGAGAACGTCCCCGAGCAAAATCCGTCCGCGGACATTCACCCACGGTACTTCCGGTACGGTGATAACGCGACAAAAACGGTAACAAAACGGTTTCGTAAGAAAGACGATAGCAATCGGTATCTTCAAAAAGAAACGGTAACGGAAAGACGGTAGCAATCGGTATCTTCAAAAAGAAACGGTAACGGAAAGACGGTACGGTAACAAAACGAACGGCAGACGAAACGGCAACGAGAAGAGACTGTCGGCGCTTAATTCACGCAAGACGGGGAGACTTTTACGCGATATCCGGAGCCGGCTAGACATGCAGTAATTGAGCGTCAATACGCGCTCACGGTATCAAAAATCTCGGTTAGTTGTGTGAGAGACACTAAATACAAAACAGATTCACGCTACCAGCCATAACCGGACGGAACTCTACGGCTACCCGAGAGGCGGCTTACATCGAGTTGACGTCTTCGGCGTCTTCGGCGTCGTTGGGCTGAGTCCTCGTGTTAGTCCTCACGCACTTGCGGCACACCGAACAGTGACAATCCTCGGCTTTGCACGTAGGTCCCTCTTATCTCGCGTCGCCTTCCTGCGCATCCTGCCGATTTTCCAAAAAGGGGGGCCCCTGAGAACCGCCCACAGTTCATCCAGGGCGCCCCCCCTGCTCTCTGTGGTTTCCTTAAATCCTTCGGCCGATAATGTGTTGATGAGTCGATGTTCCCGGAAGAGACTGGTTAGGCTGACCGGGCCATACTCCGGTCCTTCCGGGTGCAGCATCTTCGGAGTCCTCG